AATAGGATGGTATTGTTGGGAAGCAGTAAAGAGTATGAGGTGGGACCTGGTTGAAGAAAATAGGTCACTTACTAGGATGTATACTTCAATCTACATCTTACCCAGGCTCTTCCTGTCACCTTTTCTCCTTCTAGCTGCCACAGCCTGAACTTCTCTGCTAGCTGTGCCCTCCCCGCTATAATGGACTGACATCTTTGAGATGGAGTCAAAATTAGTATGTTTCCCTCTAGGTTATTCTCTCAGGTATTTTGGTCACAGTGATGAAAAGAAAACTAATGTAGTAGTGCTCTGAAATATTTTTAAATCTATAGCCAACCCAACTCTTTGTTTTTGTCTGTTTGTTGTCTAGTTTGTTTAAGAAACTGAGCCATTGTGGACACTTCCAATTTCTCTGCTAGTGATTGACAGATCAGCTCCATGGTTACACTTAACATAGATCTCTGGCCCTGAGGTTCCTATAAATGGGAAATAAATATAGAGACAATAGGTTGGTGTTCTTTTTGTTCATTTTTTCTCTCATCTGTCTCTCCATATATGAATACAATAGTTTTAGAATAAAAATGGATTCAAGCTTAAAAAAATTTTTTTTTACCAGTTCTGGGGATTGAACTCAGAGTCTGAGCACTGTCCTTGAGCTTCTTTTGCTCAAGGCTAGCGTTCTACGCTTAAGCCACAGTGCTACTTCCAGCTTTTTCTGTTTACACGGTACTGAGGAATCAAACCCAGGGCTTCATGCATGCAAGGCAAGCACTCTACCACTAAGCCACATTTCTGGCTTGATTCAAGCTTTTAATTTGTTATATTAAATTATATTTTACCGTATGTTTCCTTTATCTTGCTTATTTATTAACAACAATATATTTTATTCCTTGTTGTTTTATTTACAGCTCAGTTGTATTCCACTGAATGGATCTATCAAAATTTTTCAACTTGTTCAATTACCTTAGGATTGTTCAGATCTTTCATAAAATAAATAATACTAAAATGAACAGCTTCAATGCAAAACAAAGGTGTACCAAATTCTGGCCTACAGCATGTCTTACAGTCAGTATAGTTATAAGGCATATTCTCATATACTCTACAATTATATTTTAGTCTTCCCTTCATTTGCTTAACAAATGGTTGCTGATCACACATTATGTGTTAGGAAGTAGCACAGTAGCATGATTTTTGAAGATATAGGGATGCAAAAAACAGGGATGGGGATGGGGATGCGGATGCAAGATCCTATCTCAAAAATTAACCAAAGGTAGAAGGGCTAGGGGAGTGACCCAAGCAGTAAGGCATCCACCTAACAAGCCCAATGCTCTGAATTCAAGCCACAGTACTGCCTTAACTAACTAACTAAATAAATAAATGCTATTTAGCTTTAGTCATCCCATAACATCAGTAACTCACAATTATAAATAATTGTTCTAAGCTTGGTGCCGGTCTCTCACGCTTGTAATCCTAACTACTCAGGAAGCTGAGATCTGAGGATCATGATTCAAAGCCAGCCCCAGCAGAAAGGCTATGAGACTCTTATCTCCAATAAACCACCAGAAAACTGGAAGTGGCGCTGTAGCTCAAGTGGTACAGTGCTCACCTTGAGCTGAAGAGCTCAGGGGCAGCACCCAGGCCCAGAGTTCAAGCCCCACCAATGACAAAAAAATAAAACTATAATAAAGAAACAAATAATTGTTCTTAATTAAAAATAAGGTTTTTTTTTTTAAATGAAGTAAATGACCTGGTGCTGGTGGCTCATGCCTGTCATCCTAACTACTGAGGAGGCTGAGATCTGAGGATCACTGTTCAAAGCCAGTCTGGACAGGAAAGTCTATGGGACTCTTATCTCCAATTAATTCTCAAAACACTGAAAGTGGCACTGTGGCTTAAGTGGTAGAGTTCTAGCCTTGAACAAAAATAACATCAGTGGCCAGGCTTGAGTTCAAGACTCATGACCAACAAAAAAAAAAATCAATAAAAATAACGTAAATGAAATGTATTATACTCATAAATTGACATGTAAACTTGAATCCCCTTGTACACCTACTTGAAGAAAATGAAAACAAATAAACTGAAATCATGAGAATATCTTTGAAAGAAATGAGTGCCTTTGATGGTATGTGAAATATATTTGTATATGATAGATGTGTACTACAGTTGTACTGAGTTCCCAGTTTCCCAAACGTTGAAGAAGTATCCTCTAAGTAATTAGAGGTATGCCCTAGGTCTCTGAAGACAGATTCAGCAGTGAAGAAATACCCTTCTTGGTCTTTGGCAAGACCTTTATTGCCATAATGTTAAAGTAGTCTCGCAAATACTAAACACCCAGAACTTTAATCAAGCCAATGAAATTGTGGGCTTTCCATTTTAAAATCCTCTGTGCACAGAATGCAGTCCTATTCTGATGTTGGTATAACCAATAATCCTGGGGAGTCATCCTGTCCTCAAGACCACAATACCACATCCATAATTGAGGGGAGTGTAAGAGATTTGAGCCACAGAGGCAAGAAAAATCACTAGTTGACAGAGGAGGAAGACTTCCCATGAGGGAAGGGGACCAAGGATACTGAGAGGTGGGGACAGAACATGTCAGTGCCACAGTGAGATGCACCTAGGGAATACAGCCTTAAGTGTAGGCAGGAAAGAAGCCATGGTTAGAAGACAAAGGATTTGAATGCCATGGTAAGATTCTTGGCATGATAATGTATGTCACAGGGCAAGAGATGAAGGATTTTAAGCAAAAAGAATGGTCACTTATATTAGAAAGATTTCACTGTGTGGTAGATAGATATATACTAATCATTTTTTAAAGCAAACTCCTGATGCAATAACAAGAATAAATCTCAAAAAAACACATTAAGTTGAGGCAAAAGAAAGCCAGACCTTAAAAGGACCTATGCTGTATGATTCCTTTTATATGAAATTTGGAAACATGGAAAGTAATTCACAGAGCTGGAAGTTGAAACAGTGGTTGTCTAATGGGGGATGGGACTGACCGTAAGGGAACACAAAGGAACCTTCTGTGTGGATGGAAATGTTGTGTGTCTCCACTGGGGCTTCAGAGTGTGTCTCTATTTTCATTATGACAACGACATGCCTGGAGTAAGTTACTTTATAAAGAAAAGATTTATGTAAGTTACTTTATAAAGAAAAGATTTATTTTGGCTCATCATTCTGGAGGTTAAAGGTCTAGGGAATCTCATGCAATGATTGCCTTCTTGCTAGCAGAGTCCAAAAGTGATACAAACCCTCTCTCTGTCTCTCCCTCTCTGTCTCTCTCCCTCCCTCTCTTCCTCTCTCCCTCTCTCTCTCCTCTCTCTCTCTCTCTCTCTCTCTCTCTCTCTCTCTCTCTCTCTCTCTCTCTCTCTCATAAAACCACCAGAATGCAATCAGGGTCCACCCTAATGTTCTAATCTAATAATCACCCCCACTGTCCAATGACACCATGGTCAGATTGTTTCTAGCCTCTAAAGACCTCATAATGAGGATTTCTTTTCACCACACAGAGCCATGGATCCCTCAACCCACATCTAAGCCATGGAATGATACATTCATTTGTTAAATGCTCATGACTCTACACTTAAGATATATCTATGTTTGTAAATCATACACATAAAAGACAGAAATTTTCACTGGGCATCAATATGAAGGTTGAGTTAAAAGAAAATAAGGCTGGAGATCAACCTGCTTTCAATTTTTGTCTGTCTTCTGTTACAATTTATTCAGGGTCTATTCCATTATGTGACCAGTCTACTTCAGACTCAAACACATGAGAAGAAGAAAAAGCTGAAATACTTGATTTCCAAAGAGTAATTATGTCCCACTTTTTCCTGGAAAGGAGAAGAGTTACACAAGTAAGTTTTGCTTAGATTTCACTCAAGCACCTTTGAATTTACCCCTCCTAGAGACATTGGACTCAAGCAGAGTGCAAGTCTGCTCTGATCCCTCAAAAGTTTATAGCTAAATGTAAGACTGTGGGACCCAAAAGACCCAGAGGCCCTATGAGCAACCCAGTAGCCCAAATATCCAGTGCACCAGACAGAAATGCTTAAATACCTAGATCCTATTATATGAAGCTGAATTCATTCAATTAAACAGCTTAAGGAGCCCCGATCGGCCGCTGGAACACATCTCTGCAAGCGTGCTAAAACAATAGCCCGAGAGGCGAGTTGACGTTTGCATGCTCTTGTGTAAGGCCAGCTGGCATTACCTAACACATCGCCAAGTTGAGGATGGCCAGCTCAGCATAATTGCATTAAATCTGCCTATTCTTTCCATAAAGTACTTCCTAACTGCATCTACACAGGAAATGAGGTAAGAGGACACTTCAAAATTTTAAGACCCACATCTACCTTTAACCCCACTCCCTTGGCCACTCAAAATCATTATTTAAATGAGAAGAAAATATGGATTAAAACTTCCCTGCTGATGAACAGGTTTGCTCTACGATACTTGGTCTTCATTATTAAGATCATGAGTATTTTTATTAAATAGACTTTTGTTTTCAACAGAAAATGCATTCTATTTTATTTCTATAAAGCTCCATGAAGGAAACATTGATTCTTGCACATTCTGTGCGTGTGTGTGTGTGTGTGTGTGTGTGTGTGTGTGTGTGGTGTGTGTGTGTGTGTGTGTGTGTGTGTGTGTGTGTGTGTGTGTGTGCTGGAGCTTAAATTCAGGGTCTGGGCATTATCCCTTATTATTCCTTAGTTTTTTCACTCAAGGTTGATATTCTACAGCTTGAGCCACACCTCTTCTTTTTCCTTTTGGTAGTTGATTGGAAATAAGAGACTCTCACACTTTCTTGTCTGGGCTGGCTTCAAACCTCAATGCTCAGATCTCAGTTTCTTAAGTAGCTAGGATTACAGAAGTGAGTCCTCAACACCTGCCTTAATTCCTACACTTTCTATGGAACTGCTCTGCTAGGAAAACCCACATTAAATGCTAACTTAGCTCTTCCTGTAAGCGGCCAGAGGTGACCTGTGAAAATGGTTCGCTACAAACCCCACAAAATCATGCAAGTCAAGAGGTTCCAATCTTCATGTACACTTTAAGAACACCAGAGAAACAGCCCAGGCCATCAAGGGTATGCATATCCGAAAAGCGACCAAGTATCTGAAAGATGTCACATTAAAGAAGCAATGTGTGCCATTCCGGCTTTACAATGGTGGAGTTGGCAGGTGTGCCCAGGCCAAACAGTGGGGTTGGCCCAAAAACAGTGCTGAATTTCTGCTGTACATGCTTAAGAATGCAGAGAGTAATGCAGAACTGAAGGGTTTAGATGTAGACTCCCTGGTCATTGAACACATCCAGGTGAACAAAGCACCTAAGATGCGCCACCGAACTTACAGAGCCCATGGTAGGATTAACCCATCCATGAGCTCCCCCTGCCACATTGAGATGATCCTTACTGAGAAGGAGCAGATTGTTCCTAAACCAGAGGAGGAGGTTGCACAGAAGAAAAAGGTATCCCGGAAGAAACTGAAGAAACAAACACTTATGGCACGGGAATAAATTTAGCATAAAATAAACGCAAATAAATAAAAAAAATGCTAACTTATTTCAAAATCTTCCTACGTTCCCGCAGCTACCACTCAAGCTGGCAAATCTCCCTCTATGGTACCACTCTGATAGCTCATTTTCATCATGTCTGTCTCCATAACTAACTACAAATCCACTGGAGGTTGCTAGGCACAACCCTAAGGACCAATGACATACCTGCTCCTAAGAAGACAGATTCATTTACAATGATGTATTTATCATGCCCTTTATTCATTCAACAGACATTAATTGAGCATCTACGAAATCCTAGCTACACCATGCACTGGACATAGACAAGTGGCACAAGAATTCTTCCTATCCTCAGGATGGTGTTTTACAGCCCCACAAGCAAATGATTGCTGGAACACACAAGACAGAATAATTGACTGTGTCTGAGAAATGTGGAGAAGGCTTTGTAAAGAAGACGTCACTGAAGTGGACCTTAAAACATAATGAGTTTGTTTGTTTTCAGTATTTCTGGTTCTTTAATTCCATCCAAGTCATGAAAGTTTTATAGATTAAAAAGTGGGCAGGGGACAAGTTTGAAGGCATCCCATAAAGCATCTTTGTGAGCCAGGACCTGGAGGTTTAAAATTACAGAGAAGCCACACGGAGTGAAAGGTAAAGAACAAAGCTGGAAAGCTTCAAGACCTATGCTAAAGACGGTGTTGTACTGGTTAAACAATAGATCAATGGAACAGAATAAAGAGCCCAGAAATAGACCTTCATAAATACAGTCAACTGATCTTCAACAAAGGAGCAGAGACAACACATTGGAGCAAAGACAGTCTTTTCAGTAAACAGTTTTGGAACAAATAGACAAGCACATGCAGATAAATGAATTAAGACAGACCTGCTGAACATGGTGGCTCACACCTTAAATCCAAGCCACACCAGAGGATGAGATTGGAGGATTGCAGTTTGAAGCTACACTGGGCAGAAAAATCAGTAACACTCATATCTCCATTTAACCAGCAAAAAGCCAGAAGTAAAGCTGTGACTAAAATGGTAGAGCACCAGCCTTGAGTAAAAAAGCCAAATGATAGTTCAAGGTCCTGAGTTCAAGTCTTACTGTCAACACGCACACACATTCACACTCACACACACACAGAGACTTTAGATCTTTTTTTCAAAAAATAATTCAAAGTAAAATTATTATATTTTTAATTTTAAAGTGCAAAATACAAAACCCTAAGGATTCCTGGGAGTTTCATAACGGGGCGGGGGGGGGGGGAACTTAAATGACCTCGGTATGAAGATGATATTTTGCATACAACATGAGAGTCATAATCCATTAAAGAAAGAATTGATGAGCTTGGCTTCATTAAAACAAAACTTCTGGTCCATGAAAGATAATGTCAAAAAAATGAGCAGACAAGCCACAGATTTTTACCTAAGTCAGGTAGTGGTGGCTCATACCTGTAATCCTAGCTACACAGGAAGTTGAGATCAAGGGGTTGTGGTTTGAAGCCAGCCCAAGCAGAAAAGTACGAAGAGACTCTTTCTCCAAAATAACCAGCAAAATACTCTACTGGAGACAGGACTCAAGTGGCAGAGAGCCAGTCATGATCAATAAGCTGATTGAAAGTGCCCAGAGTTCAATCTAGGGGAAGGGAGGGGAAGGGAAGGGAAGGGGAGGGGAGGGGAGGGGAGGGGAGGGGAGGGGAGGGGAGGGGAGGGGAAGGGAAGAACATATATATATATAAATATATATACACACACAGAGATATATATATATAGACATATACATATATCCCAAGGTCTCTTGTACTCTTGCCCCAAGCTGATGCCATAGTGTTTGCACAGGGAAAGATCATTCCTCATACTCTCAAATGTAGCTACCGCAGCAACATTTCTGCCAAGAACCCTAGGATCTCCCCCCCCCCCTCTCTGTGCATGTGTGTTTGGATCGGTTCTGGGTCTTGAACTGAGGGTCTGGGCACTGTCCCTGAGCTTTTTTGCTCAAAGCTTAGTGCTCTACCATTTGAGCCACAGCCTCACTTCTGGCTTTTTTTGTGTGATTAACTGGAGGTAAGAGATTCAAGGGATTTTCCTGCCTGGACTGGCTTCAAACCACAACCATTCACCAAGATGCTAAGATGGAGCCAGTTAGACCGGTATCCAAACTTGAAGTGGACATTGTGGCATTCTTTATTGTATATTCTTCATTGTAGTATTCATTGTGTTAGACAGTTAGACTTGAAGTGGACATTTTGGTATTCTTCCCAGTTCCCCTATAGGAACTGATGAACTCATTTCTCAGCCTTGAAGCTTACTGGCTATTGATGGCTTGTGAATGGACCCTTTCTAAAACCTGACCTCAGCTGAAAGATAATATCCTGCTCAGGATCACCCTAGCCCCAGTTATGCCAGGATGGGTTACAAAAAGGTCAGATCTTTCCTGCCTTAACTTGGATCCAGTTTAATGACTGAATTAGTTGAGATGATTGGGAGATGAGCTTCTCTTTTAATCCACTCTTAACTTTTTCCATTTCTCTAGTTCTTCTCAGCCAGTCTGTGTGCAATTCTCTATTTCTGGATCTATATCCAAGGAAACTAAGGAACCAAATCATTTCTATCTTTTTGCAGGAAGTAAATGCTGAGCTTAACTTCCTACTTTTCTACATTAGCACATCCATCAGTTTTTACATGTTTTTTGACCTAATGTTTAATTGAAATTCATTGAAAGATGCCCTGAAAATGTATACCCCTTCATTCTTCATAGCCAGAAAAATGGAAGTCCTCTCCCTCTCTGGTCTCTAGTGCAAACACTATGATGAGGAATAAGGATTAACATGCTGTTCCATGGGAAATGGAACATTCTAGAAAACAGCAGAGCCAAGTTTTCACTCTGACTAGCCACTAACTTACTATGATGTGAACAAATCATTTCCTTACTCCAAGTGGGGCCAAATGTACATCTAATTTACATGAAAATTATCCCAAGCATGTAAATAAGCAGAAAAGTGATCTCTACATTCTTGCAGTATTATATAGTGAAATACCCACCCAGAGACTATCTAGAATGTAATTTAATTCTACTTATTATATACTATTAACTGAAGGTGTTCAATTTAGTAAGTTTGTTACCTGATAGTGTTATTCAGTAGCTATGCAAAGGATTTCTGTCACTGGAATAGATAACTACAAATATTTATAGCTCAATTTTTATTTAACACAATAAACTATCAAATATTTTCATATGTGTATACACATTATTTGTCTGCACATTCATTTTTCCATTACTCATTGAGTTAAATAGTATTTTTACCTGTGATTTACATTTGCTTAAGAGTTATAAATTTCCCTTTTTGAAAATTACAAAATTAAAATTAAAAATTAAAAAATAGGTATGATCTGCTCCATGATCCTGGAAGAAAACCTATCCATGCTGGTGCTGGCTGGTAGCTCACACCTCTAATCCTAGCTATTTAGGAAGCTGAGATCTGAGGATCAGGGTTCAAAGGCAGCCCAGGCAGGAAAGTCCATCAGTCTCTTATCTCCAATTAACCACCAAAAAGCCAGAAGTGGAGCTGTAGCTCCAGTAGTAGAGTTCTAGCATAGAGCACAAAAGCTCAGGGACAGTGTTCAAGCCCTAGGGCCAGGACAAGAGATCCATCCATACACGCATCTTGAGAACTTAAGATAATCTCGTGGAATGAGTACACCACGAGACATCTAGAATTGCTTTATCTAGATATCTTTTGGCCCATAGGACAATCTTCAGAACATTCACATTCAGTGAAAGGAACTTTCCTGAAGTTTCCTAATGCCTAAACATAGGAGCATGGTTGACATTGATCAAGATGCATTGTACTCCTAAACTGACATGTTGAATGGTCATCCAATTGTACAACTACTTAAAGATAATAAAATCTAATTTTAGGAAAAATAAGAAGTTGAAAAAAAATAGGAGCATTTGATATTGTCAGAGCTATCTGATACTAAATCCAGGCCCTATACCACGGCTCCTCAGATCACCATATCACATCTCACCTGCCTGCCTGTTTTTCAGTAAGTATAACAGGGACTCATAGTACAATAGTCAACACACACTCCCACACAACAACGCTAAGGTATGCCTGGTAACTAGAATAGGATGTTTCCAAAAGACCAAATGTACTTGATGAACTTCATCTCAGTACCCAAGAAAGGAAAGCCTTTCAGAATCACAAATGCCTATATACTACCCATCTTTCTTATTTAGTGGCCAATTCGCAGAACAATCTTGAACCAGAAATGAAAACACTCCAGCCTCAGCTTCCTGCTGTCATATGCAAATTCTCCTCAGTGGCTCCATAGAAGGAGGGAAGTAGAAAAGGGTTTTTAAGTCATTTAGTGCAGGGCCTAGCCCAAAGATGATCTCTCTGTAACGTGGCTCCTTCCCCTGAGAGGACCTGGAGGGCTTTAAGCATTGGCTATGCTACAGCCCATCCCTGCCCCCACTCCAGCCTCACAGTGATCAAGGGATGGGAAAATCGCTCTGTTCAAGCAGGTGTCACTGTTCTAAACCTCCAGCCTCGTTTCCTGATCGTGTCTTAATCTGCTCATCGGTGGTGAAAGTTGATTTCTTGCACATTCTTATATCAGTGGGAATTTCTGCCCTTGGCTGACAGGCATTATGGGCTGGCTTTGACATACAGCCCTACAGGGCCTGAACAGCTCCTATTCTTTCCCCGGTCCTGAAAGGGAGCTTTGTGCCAAGGATTCATTAAACTGCACTGCACAGCCCCTTCATAAATGGGGCTCAATAATGAACAGTCGATTTAACTGGAAAAGCTGCTGGAGCTGTTAAATTAAAGGGAAATAAAGTGCACTTTAGGCTCAGTCTGCCAGAAGAAATGGTGACCTAAAAGGAAAAAATCTTCATTTTTATTGAATTGCATTAAAAAAAAAAGTCTAAAATGTCCAGGAAGCTTCCTTGTGACAGGCGGGTGAGACAAAAAAGCTCAGAATGCAGGCTTGGAGAATGCTTGCTTTT